TTTTTCGGCACTACCTTGTTCTCTATAGCTGATGTAAGGTGAATTACTCCTGTGTGGGATCAATAAAGTTCTTATCTTAGCCACCTCAGAAGATCAAATACATTGTTTTTGGTGCCTAACTGTTTCCCAAGTATATTAGTGTGTGTGTGAATGAATAAACGAGAGGCATTAACGTAAATCTCTTTGTAGAAAGGCGCTTTATGAAATTAAGTCCATTCACTTGTATTAGTTTACAGCGCAGCCTTGCCACATCCAATATGGCGGCGACGTTGACGTATCGCAGCAGCGGGCAAACCCACTCTACGTATATATGTCTATGATCATTACTACTCAGGTGTGTGTTGGGACGGTCACTCTAAAAGGTGACATTTTGTCACAGATAACACAGCTCATCGACTGACATAAGAAATACCTGTTATCATTTTCACTTTATTAAATATCATCCTGGTTATTAATAATATGAACTTTATTAAATTCTTGCAGTGACCACTGCAGCAGAAACTGTGCATACAAACATCAATTATGTTGAAACTAAATGTTTAGTTTTTCTTAGTCTGAAGTTCAGAGGACAGACAGTTATTGCATTGGGACTTTATTTATGATTTCCAGGTGACAAGCTGGGGATCAAGAAGAGAGGAAACTGAGAGGCAGAAAATATAGAAATGTGAAAGGCCTACTGTTTCATCACCCATGTCTGCATCACATGAAATTCTCCTCCTTACAGTATGTGCCACACCTCCCGACACTATTTGACATGGATGGTTTCTGAATCCTGGGATCAACACTGCTGAAGATAATCGCCATTTGTTCCCCTCAGTGTGGAGTCATGGTGGGTTCAGCCTGAGTGTGTGCAGAGACTCTTCATCACCTGATTGCTCCACCCATCTACTAAACAGGTGAGTAGTGTTTAGTGAGTGAGTGAGTGTAGTAATTAATGTGTGTTTAATGTGTGTTTATTGTGTGCCATATTTTGATTGATTGATTGATTTTATTTATTGAAGTGTTGTGCACCAAGTGGTGCCCAGCCCATATGGGCTTACAAGACACTAAAGAGAACAACAGCCTGGATGGCCACATGACAGATCAATAACATGAAGTCCACAAAAGGAAAAACAAATTTCCAAGCATTTTCTATAAATCTTGCCAAGGCAAAGGTCTCCTCATCAAAAAGCCAATGCAACATCTATATGGAATATATATATATTATATCGCAATATTCTGTATGGAACCCCACTTTGATTTGAACGTAGTTTCTGAGCTTTGGTTTGGACCAGATCTCATCTTTCCATTGTTCACTGTGAATCTTAACTAGTTTTTCTTTCACTATATTTATATTACACTGCAAATTGTTCCTAAATATATAATTCAAATCAGAAAACAAAAATAATACAGAAACCTCCTTTGCCCAAGGATGATTATGAGTTCTATCCCAGTTAAAATATTTTTGGTCAGCCTTTCCTCTGGCAATTGAACAAGGTGGTTCCACAACCGAACTATTTCACATCTCTGTTTCACAAGACACGACACCCATCTTGCGACCCCTTCAATAGTCCCTTTAGCAGTATATGTGTGAACCCAGAGAAAGCACCTCATGGCTCAAGTCTAAATAGCATTACTGTCAGGGCTATCTTTAAAACCCCACACACCTGCTGCATAAAATAAAACTGAGCCAACCACTGAGCCATAAAGTTTTGAAAATGTCAAAAAACCAAGGTCGAGGCACACTTTCATTTTACATATTATAGACCCTAAAGCTCTCCCTGCTGCCTGCTGACTCTGCCAATGATTTTCTTCCATCGGAGAGGGTCATATTTTCATTAAAAACAAGACCAAGATATTTATATTAAGTAACATACTTTCAGGGCCTTAATCCAAACTGAAATATGTGGTCGCTCTGCTGCTCACAAGGTCTTCTAAAATACATAATCTGAGTTTTTCATCCACCAACACTCCAAAGGACTCCACATAATTATTAAGTCTATTATTAAGGACACCAAAATATAATTTGTATACTGTGCTGATCAGACTTATGCCTCTGAAGTTTAATGGAATCCTGGGATCTGAGATTGCAGATTTAGGGATGGATTTGATTATGGATTTATTCCACATTGATGGAATAAATCCATACTGAAAACAGTTTTGAAATAAACAGTGTTAAATATTCAACATATTTGAGTTTTTGAGGACCACATTTGGATCATCTATACCCACAGCTTTATTTAATTTAGCTTTATCTACTACCCTCTGCACCTCCTCTAAAGAGATATCACTATTCAGCATATGGTTCGGACAATATGCAGTGTTACTCATACCACACTCAAGCTGATCTTTCAAGTTTTTGCTTTCAGTTAAAAAATGACTATCAAATAAAGAAGGATTTCTACAAGCATACAAACTAGTATAGTCCTGTTCTCTCTTCCTTAATATTTGGTCAGTCTCAAATGAAGATTCACCATTTTCCATTAGAATCCCCATAGGAATCAGCTTACTCTTTTTGGGACCAAGTTTATTTATTTTCTTCCAAAATTGCTTAGGATTGGTATTTTGCAGTTGTTCTAGCTGGAGAGATTGCCCTCTCCTAAAACGCCTCTTGAAGAACTTAAGTCTTCTATCAAAATCAAGTTGACAATGTTTAAATGCATTTTATAAATCCCTCCTCTTAAGCTGGTCCTTACATTTAAGAAATATTTTCTCTGCAGAGCGCAAATTAAGCCTCATTTAATTCGTTATTCCAGTATGGTCGCTTTGTTCTGTAAAACTCCTTCTCTACATCTTTTTTTTACTGCACCATATTTATCCATTTCCCTATGGAGAACATATCATCTACAACAGTATAATCTCTCAAATCTGCAATACAACTGTTCACTTCACCACACCCATAAACAGAGTCTACATCGGTGGAATATATCAGGGCCAATAAAGGGCTAAAGAAAAAAATCAGCGTTCAGACCCCACGTTGAGGATAAATAACAAGTGATTATAATGAAGGAATATTGTGAACCCCGGTGCTCAAAACGTAAACAAAGAATTCCATCATATGTTTTATCTACAGTGTTAACAGAGAGTTGGTCAAACACACGAAAATACCAACTCTGTCGGAGACTTGGACAGCTCTCCTGTGTGTGATGCAATTATGGTCAAACCAGGTAAATCCATCAAGTTAAAGTGAGTCACTGGCTGAATGAGTCTCATTTAGAGAAATGAAATAAAAAGAGAACAAAGCAGTACTTTTCTAAGTTCACAGTTTGTCGATGTCCATCCATTAACATTCCGATGGACTAATCGAAACTGCTGAGTACTTAAAGGCTGGGCCTGCTCCCCTCACCCCAGCCCACCTGATCCACCTGAGGCAACCCCGCTATTATCAGCGAGACATCCAGGTCAAATTGTTTCCTCTGAGTGGCTTTTTCGGCTATTTTCAGCTCAACAGCCTCCATTCTGAAGCTCAGGATGCCCACCTCCAGCTCCAAATTCAGACACATTTCTTTAGCTGTCTTTTCCAGCTCTCTTTTCAGCGCATTTTAATTCTCTGTGATTAGCCTCTCCAACAAACCACGCAGACTGTCAATTTTACTGTCCACGTTTTTCCATTGCGTCTTGTGTGTGATCTATTTTCACATTAAGCGTCTTCAGTTCATTCATTAGTACCAGAGTGCCGCTGCAATCAAACTCGGCATCCTTCAACTTTTGACTGCGCTGTCTTGTGTTATCTGCCACGATCTTACTCAGATGGAAATAGTTCACTCCTCACAACAAACATACAGGCTTTTACAAACCAGTTTACAAACTTTCAGTCCTACTTGATCAATATTTCTGAGTTATTTATAAATTTGCGCGGACACTACAGACAAAGGTGCACATGCGGCCATCTTTTTTGCATTGCAAAATGTGTGTTTAATGTGTGTTTTCAATCAACTAAACTTTACAGCACTTCACAGAATCCTCACTGCCCACTAGTGTTTTAGAGGTGTAACTGCAGAGTGACACAGACACACCACAGCACAAGTATAAATGCTCACAACGGCGTAGACTACTAATAGAGCTGGCGTACGGGTATAAATCCCTCTTTAGATGAGTCTACTTTACCCATACAGCTGCTGTAGCTGACGTCATGAGGTGAATTCATTTGTGGGGTGGCCCAGCACTGTTATCACCAGTCAGGACATTCATACTAGAAATAACTTGTTGAACTGTGTTTCCCACAGAATTAGATTATATTTGTGGTGATATCTGACAACTGTGGGGGACTTTCCTTCAGTTAGCGCCCTGTAACAACTTAGATTCAGCCACACACACACACATTTTTAGCATGGATCCTACACACTGTTTTATAAATGAGACCCTGATGTTTATTACAGACTGACTTACAGTTTTTGACACTTTTAATTCATTCAAATTAATTGCTGTCATAACCCAGAGAAGAATAAAGTTTCCAATAAAACATTTTTAATAAATATTTATTTGGGTTTAAATTGAGCTTAAATTTCCCAGAAATACTAAATTTATTGTTTTGAAACCTTTTTTGATGAGTTGTTACCTTCTTTTTCATGACGATGACCTCTGTACAAACTTTAATATTTATTCTTTTATTTAACTTTATACAAGCCTACATTTATAAAACAGAATATGGAGAACATATTTTGTCTGTTCTATACAGACCTTTATAACAAAACCAAATGTCTTTTGTCTGCAGTGATTTTTAGCCCTGAGAGTTCAAACATGTCGATGACACACACACATCTGATGTCACTACCGTTTTAAACATGAACAACAAACATTAACAAATCTATCTATCTACAGATACATCTACAGATTTTATTTCATAAATTCAGCTTTGGAATTCTTTTAAAAAAAGTTTCATGTAGCCTTCTATCTAACGTTCATGTTTGGAGTCTGTAATAAATAAAGCTGAAGCGTTGTGTGTTGTCAGTTCAGTCTGGTGATGTTTGGAGTCTGTTATGAAGGGAGTTGAAGTGTCGTGTGTTGTCAGTTGAGCGTCAGTCCCTCACTGACGGGCATGTTGATGTGGGCGGTCAGCAGAGGCGAGCTCTTTCCCTCGTGCAGGATGAACACCTTGATGATGTCAGAGATGCCCTTGTCGCTGGTGCACTCCACAAAGGTCTCGACAGGGTAGATGAGTCCGGGCACCAGCAGAGGGATCCTCATGTACGGGTTCCTCATCCTGTACAGGCTCTCGTCGTACAGGAAGCTGATGGCCAGGTTCATGACGGGCCTACACACCGCCGTGTTCTGGACGTTTAGGGTCAGTTTGAAGGACGGGCCCAGGCCCTGCACCACCGCATTCATCTTGAGTGGCTCGGTGAGGCTGGAGGACATCGGCGTCAGGCTGGACTCCAACACCTTGACATAAGCTTTGGCAGCGGCCAGGCGCAGGCGGCTCAGGTCCATCTGGAAGGCCCGGTGCATGGCCAGGCCATTCTCGCGCTCCCTCAGCGTCTGGTCCACGTACAGCTTGGTCTTCTTGGGCACGTTGAGGCGGACGCTCTGGGCCAGTGGAGGCCCCGGGGCGCTGTCCCTGTCGTCAAACGTCGCCATCCTCTTCAGGATCTTCACCATCAGGCCCCCTCCCTTGGTGGTCATGATCAGGGTCCCATCCTCACGCCCGTACCGGCCAAAGCAGATGCTGGTGACAACATCTGATGTCTTGATGGTGCTCAGCAGGTTCTTGTCTCGGTACAGCTGGACCTCACAGTTGGCCAGACCCACCAGAACTGCCTGGAAGCCCCTGGTGGGGAGGTCCATGGCAGCCATGGCGGTGATGGGAGCGGGGAGGACAGCCGTCCACAGCTTCTTCCCCTGAAGACACAACAACAGTTTGACACAGCTTCCTCCTCGGACATCACTTCATCATCACGTGAGCTCAGTTTACCTTCTGTGTGAAGCCCTGCAGGCTCTCGTCAGTGCAGCCGACCACCACGTTCTTCCCAACTCTCACTAGACCCACCGGGTGAGACGACAGCTCGATGCAGTACTTGGGTTTGTCCGACTCCCTGAAGCAGCAGCACAAACATCAGTCAGACCTGAGTCTCCTTTCATGTTGTGTGATTGTTTATCTGAACCACCAGCAGAAGTCTCAAACAGGTGAGTTCTCTCAGCCAGGTGTGTGTCTCACCTGCGCAGGATGTAGATGTTGCCATTGCGACACGCCACTGTGATGCGAAACTCCACGTCAAACTGACCCGTCACGTCCATCATGGTGGGAACGGCCGGCAGCGACATCTTCAACAGAGACAGATAGATTAGATAGATAGATAGCCTTTATTGTCCCATGGGTAAATTTCTTTTCACAATCTGTCACAACATTTGGATACACAAAACACCGCCAACAAACACCATGCACAAACACCACCAGACATTGAACAACATATGAATACACACACAATGCACAAACACCACCAGACATTGAACAACCGACACATATCACACTCAGAAGGGCTGGGTCCATACAAGGTTACTGGGGGAGGTTACTGAGTGCAGAGATGGCAGAAGGGAGAAAGCTCTTGTTGAAGCGTGCCCGTCTCCACCTCAGGGTCCTGTATCTGCGCCCAGACGGCAGCAGTGTGAAGTGTGGGTTGAGAGGGTGATCCGAGTCATTGGTTATTGTTCATGCCAAACATGTGACAGCTCGGTGGTTGAGCTCTGTGAGGTTGGGTGTGGGATGGCTGATGATTTTGGATGCGGTGTGTGTTATTTTTGTTAGTTTGTTCCTGTTAGTGGTGGACAGCATGTTGTAGAAACAGGGGCAACAGTACAGAAGGATGGGTTGAATGATACTGGTGTACAGTAGTGACAGAAGGTGGGGGGCAACAGAGAGACACGTTTCTTACTGAAGTTTTCAGCCACATCTCATGACTCTCCTCAATTTCCTCAGTTGTGATGGAGATGGTTTCATTTGTAATCGTGATCTAATATTCATTTCTTATTAACAGTTATCACATTAGCAAAACTGCATACTTCTGTCACATGATAACAAGTAAACTATCTAGATGCAGAAAAATTGGTCCACGCTTTTGTTACCTCAAGGCTGGATTACTGTAACTCTCTATTATCAGGTAGCTCTAGTAAGTCCTTAAAAACTCTCCAGCTAATTCAGAATGCAGCAGCACGTGTACTAACAGGAACTAAGAAACGAGATCATATTTCTCCTGTTTTAGCTTCTCTGCACTGGCTCCCTGTAAAATCCAGAATTGAATT